TACTCAGTTCATGATCATGTTATTATTTACGATGTTTTACATTAGCATGAGTTTCTGCGGAGCACAGTGCCTTAGTGCTCACGCCCCACATTTATCATGTTTTTCAGGTGCAAAGGTCGGAGACGAGGAGTGAGCGGGCGAGCTGTTCAGGATATTCATGTTTATTGTATTTTATGTTTTTGCCACGCTAGTCTTCCGCTAAACCTTCTTCAGTACTTTTATTCAGACTTTATTCCGATGTTTATCGGATAAGATGTATGACCGTTTTTATTTACCAGTTTAAAATTTGAACGGTTTTCAGAAAGTCAAGTTTCACGGTAGCATCCCGATCAATTTTCGCACAAAATTAAGTATTTCATTTAAGTTTTCAGTAAATTGCGAAAAATAGCGCACTCTGATGTATTACGGAAAGCGGGGTGTTACAACTCTAGATCATACTGAGCTACTAAAGCCATAATGATCCTCAAGGAATCTTTCTCAGAAACAGGTGAAAAAGTCTGCTTATAATCAATGCCATCTTTTTGAGTATAACCCTTGGCAACAAGTCTAGCTTTATGTCGTTCGATATTGCCACTCGAGTCGCGTTTGGTCTTAAAGACCCACTTACACCCAACTCGTTTTGAACTTTCTGGCAACTCTACTAGATCCCAAACATTATTTTTAGCCATAGAGTTTAACTCTTCTTTCATAGCATCAATCCATTTATGAGACTCGTCACTGTTAATGGCTTGTGAAAACGAAACAGGATCTTCATCAATGCTAGTATCATAATCCAACTGTAATACCCCATTCGGGTGTGGATTATTGGAGTTATTATTTTTTTTTCCTGGTTTGTATTGGTCCTCTTTATTATTATTGTTATTTACTAATGTGATTATTATTATTATTATTATTATTATTATTATTATTATTATTATTATTATTATTATTATTATTATTATTTTATTATTTGTCTAATTGTTATTATGCGCGTAAATGTTTATTATTAATCCAACAAAGACATTCGGATTTTCACAGAAAACGAGGGCATCGCAAATACACAATATAATTACGATTCAATCTTAATGGATGCAGCAAATCTCCAGTTACGTTACAAGGATATGCGCATACCCGAATGCCCATATGCTCGGTCTTTGTCCGAGCAAAGACCCGAACATCCACCTGCTCGGTCTTGTCCAAGGAATGACCCGAGCCTAAACCTACTTGGGTTTTAAGCCGACATACCCTTTGAACAACACCCTAGCTCAGAAGAGGGGGACCTAAAGCCTTCAAACAATTTGAACAGCACCTGAGCTCACCAGAGCCCGGCCTTGAGCCGTCACAATATTTGAATATCACACGAACCCACAAGAGCTCGGCTTTAAGCCGTCACACCATTTGAACAGCACCCGAACTCACCAGAGCACGGCCTTAAGCCGTCACACCATTTGAACAGCACCCGAACTCACCAGAGCTAGGCCTTAAGCCGTCACACCCTTTGAACAGCACCCAAACTCACAAGAGCTCGGCCTTAAGCCGTCACACCATTTGAACAGCACCCGAACTCACAAGAGCTCGGCCTTAAGCCGTCACACCATTTGAACAACACCCGAACTCACAAGAGCTCGGCCTTAAGCCGTCACACCCTTTGGACAGCACCCGAACTCACAAGAGCTCGGCCTTAAGCCGTCACACCCTTTGAACAGCACCCGAACTCACAAGAGCTCGGCCTTAAGCCGTCACACTTTATGTTCTTCATTACGAGCCATCCACACTTAATTCATCAGACCAAGACATAAATGATTCAAAAACAACTCCAAGTTATCCTTAATGCAACAACCAAATTCAATAACAAAAGCATAAATGTTTCAAAACAATTCAGAGTTACAATCAAACTGGCAATAATACTTCTTGAGAGTAGCAACATTTCAAGGCTTGGAAAAGACCTTACCCTCCGGGTCCCTTAGCTCATAAACCCCTCCTAGCCAACTGTTGGTCCCCCGTGACCTCACCTACCAGCTCTCCCACCAAAAATTTCATCTTCATGCAATATGTTGATACTGCCGAGGGATGTGTGCTATGTTGCGAATGAAGGATTGACACAACTGGGTTACAGTGGGTTTCTGTAACATCCCGACTTTTTACTACTATTAGAGTACGCGTTTTTTGCAATTTTACTGAATAAATGCATAAAATATTAATTTTCTTTTGTGAAAACTGATTCGGGATGCTACCGTGAAAACTTGTCTTTTTCTGAAAACTGTTAACTTTTTAAAAACTGATAATTAAACGGTTATGATATCTTAACCGACTAACGTCGGATTAAAAGCTGAGTTTTAAGTACTTAAAGTTTTAGCAGAAATAACTGCGTGGTCAAAATATATATACATAAATACAATGTCCTGAACTGCCCGCCAGCTCACTCCTCGTCCCCGACCCTGCGACCTGAAAAACATGAAATATGTGGG